TTAAAATTGACAAATACATCGATAAAGCCATTACTATTGCCGGAGGGTCATTCAGAGCCACGTCTGTCGTGAAAATTAAACAATCACCATTTCGAAATTATCTAAACAGTTCTTTAGTCGTCTGGTGAGCAGAAGGAGGAGTTAGACCAACGGTAGTTCTATTACCACCACCTCTTTTCATCAAATTCATGTAACAAAACGTGAGGAACATGTCACTTCTCATGTTCCATTTTAGATGTTACCTCTGCACAAATGGTTAGTTTGACGGCCAATAACAGTTAATCATATGATTGCGAAATTAGAATCAATCCAGAGCAAGTAACATGTTTCTGCTATCTGCGAAAGACGCTCACAGACTGCTGCAGTCATTCAGACTTGAGAAAACGCTTTCGTCGCTAAAGAGACGTGTTTTAAGGTCTAAAAGCTGCATTATTTCTTAAACCCCCGTCAAACAAGACCACAGCAGATCGTAGATAGGATCGGAAGTGTGTAAGATTGTTTAGGGTTTAAATTGGGTTCGAGTTCATGATATCGCGAGTTTGCAATTGGAAACATTGTCGTTTTAAAGTATAATCAACACCTTCGTGACATTATCCAGATCGTCTGCAAATGCCCTTTGAGAGGTTTGGACAAAGTGATCTCAAGGTTGAGAATATTGAGTGCTTTCGTGTCGCCGTCTCAAGCAACATGTCTGCGGAACAAAACCACCCACTTACTCCAGGCTCCTGCCACGTTCTCTGCGTCCCTCGAAAGAGACCTGCTTCCGATACGCCCCACCCAGCAGGCCACGAAGGAGACTCTTGTCGCCAGTCTCGTGGTCGTACACCCGACGACGGGGCGAGATGTAGTGGCGCTGGCTGAGCGCGGCTGCCTCGCTCTCCTCAAGGGCGTTGCTCAGCTGGTGAAGGAGGACGTTGCGAACCAGACTCTCCGCCTGGTTCCGCACGAGGAGCTCTTTCCGCGCGGCGTTTGATAGTGAGTGCTGACTCCCCGCACTCGATGTGCCGTCTTCGTGGATCAACGAGGCGAGGATCTCCTTACAGCTCGTCAGCGAGTCATACGCCCCCGATGAACAGGTATCTCCCGCCAATAGCGACGACTGCGACACCTAAGAAATAAGTTCAAACGAAAAGTTTGTTTTAATGGACTCTTTATATTGTGATGGCTGGTGGTTGATTGCGTGGTTAAGAAACGAAGTGCTTGAAGTGGTATCGTGCAAGAATCCACTATTTTTTGCGGTGAGTTGTTGAATAGTCCTCGGTTTTCCAACTGAGTCACGACTGCTGAAGTCATCTTCATTTGGCATTTGGAGCGAGTGTGGGGTATGCGCTATCACCAAGGCACCACGTTGCATTTGTTCAATTGATTCTCCAGCTTTCTGTGAAGCTTATTGTAAGAGCTTACGCAGACTACACGCAAATTCAGCTTCAGCGATCAGATTGGCTGGAAGATAACGAATGATCTGTGGTCTTCGAGGTCATATAAACCCTACTGATTACAAGCAGTTGAGTTGTTTGTGACGTTTAATCGATATTATCTTGAAGTCGGTGTCGTAGGTAGTTACTTTGTACGAGATTTAGTCTAGTAAATTAATAGCATTAATAACTACTTTGGCTAACAGGTCATACAACGTTTGATCTTGTCCCTGAAATTGCACCAATAAGGTTAAAGTGAAACAGATTTGCCAAATCACTGCGCAGCTGGAAAACCATAATGAACGAATTGTGTTACATCTTATACTGTATCGATTTCAACTGAGGCGATGTCTTCGCACGATAGTAATGAGTTTTCGCGAAGGTTGGTTTCCCTGATCTTTTCATTCGATGGTTTGCTGGACACACGACCTTGAATCAACACAGCGTACACTTCAGTTGAACCTTTGAAATCGTGGTAACTCACTGAGAGCTTAAGAACTGACTTGAGTTATTATTATCTGACCGACATTATTCAACGGCGAACGCACATACTCGTTCAAGCAAGTTCTGTTTGATGTCCCTGAACGTCTACACACCCGCAGTTCTAGTATTTTACTTGATACTATTCGCTTTGGAAAACCTAGAAGACGTTATACTACAGGTCGTGATTCTATTCGACTTGTTCATGCTTATATCTGGTGCGCGTTCTTGTGAATGTCCAATTAAGGCATTCCAAAGCTGGTGTTTTAAACAAATTTTAGCAAATGGAGATTTAAAAAGTGAACAAATGCCGTCATGTCACTCGCCTACACTCGATACGGTAGCGTGTAAACTTAGTCTGGTGAATCCTTAAACTAATCTCGGACACGTCCGGAAACGAGTGGTCTTTATCTCGGAAACGTAAATGCCGGGACACACTTGCACAAACACAACCTGTTCCTACAAAGTGGAAGCAAAAACAAAGTTTTAACGGCTAAAACCGGAGCCCCACACTTGGTTATTATGATGCTACGCAGTTATTTCGAAACGCAATGTAACAGGTTCCCACAAAAATTGAACTAATCTTGCGAAGGATATCAACCAATAAACGTGTAGTTAGGGGACTTGACGGGCCACAGCACACAAACATTCAAAGACTAACCTGATTGGCTGGATGTGGCGGAGGAATGTTTGAAGTGAACCTCGCTATTGACTCCTTGTTCGCAACTGGAGCTCCAACGAGTCCTCCCATGAAACCGGTGGTCAGGGCGGCGATCGACTTCAAGGCATTCTGTGTTTGTTCCTTCGAGTGGTACACCTCTACAAATACTCATCCACATATTTGACTTGACTATTGCTATCGAAAATTAACGTGGTAATAAATCAAGTTATTGTCTTTTTTATCTGTGGGCAGATTTTGTTTAAATTAATGATCTAGTTGATGACCAATGAGTCGCTGGGTGGCCTTGAAATCTCATTGGTCAACAGCGCAGAACACATAAAAAATCGATAAGAGTAGAAATCCAAAGAGGTGGCGTTTAATGGAATCCACTTGTAACTTACGACGTGGTTTGCAGTCCCTGATAGATTCGTCCGTGCAGCCTACATTTCTTGCCAATTCCTCCAGATTTGTAATGTGTTTCTGCGCAAAATATCGCAAGCAATTACGCTTAAACACATTCAAAAATTGTCTGGATTAGTAAAGTAGTGTTTATTCCAATCTCCAGACGTTGGTGCTAGTCAATTATTGGTTAAACCACCATTTACTAGGCCACGCAAAAAAACCATTCTTGTAAAATCAAGCCTATTGGTTGAATTTGCGGCACATTTTGCTGTTAAATGTCAACCACACTTTTGTGTATATTTAAACGCCGGCAATTGCAGCCGGCAGAACTCACCTGAAAAAGTTCCTTGCAGCGCTGAAGACTGTCCACCTTCCGCTGTTGCAGGCGTCTTGCGCGTTTTTGCAGAGCCACACGAAATTCACAGCGTTGCCTCTCATACATTAGCATGGCTACACAGAAAGGAATGCGCCATCATAATTAAAAGTAACCGATGCAAATGATGGGTTGGTCAATTTCCTAGCCGATGAAACAATATACGCATAATTTGGTGTCATCGTTTGGACACTGTGGAATGCTGCCCCTACGAGGTTTACAACTTACCTTTCGTAAAATGTGGCTAGACGTTGTCTTGATTTTCTGTCTGATTTAGTCTAGTTCATCAGCACAACATGCTCACGTTAGGTGCGAATAAAAGATATCATCTAGCACAAGTTAAAATAAGCCCCGACGGAGATTCTTGAAGCTCTCGATCAGCGCACTTCGATTTCAAGGACCTGACAAGCGTTGTTTCTTCAGCGTAAGTCAAGTGGAGGTTCTGTGACAGCGGTCATCTCCTGTCACCTCGACGTAATAATTTCTGCCTTTGTTTTGTCCAGTCTGCGAACGCTTTGCCGTGCCCTCACCGAGGCTTCCAGAGGTTACCACGGCAGCCTTCTGCGATCGTTGTATGAGGTAAGCAGTCTGGAGACAGCGTCAAAGTCCACACGAGCAGCCTCCGTGCGTGTAATGCCGTCATGTCTGCGGTTTATAGGGTTTCCTGTTCAGTTTCGGCTCACAGGTCGGCCATGGCAGCAGACCAGTGCTCGATCGGATTCTGCAGTCACATCTAGTCGCAACCGTGCCTAGCCACTCCACAGAACCCAGGCAAAAGGAGGTGCTGTGCCGACAGCTGTTTTCCAAGCCGCTTCCTTCACCCACGTCGAAGGTGGATCGGTATGTGTGCGTGGAGGGTTACTGGGTGCCGCAGGGTCCGTTGGACACACGTGAGGTGAACGATCGCTCTCTCACCGACGCCAACTACGTCCTCACCGAATCGGTCCGCGCTAACCTTAAGGACCTGGCGCGCGTCGTTTCTGCAGCGTAAGTCAAATGGATGAGGTTGTTTGTTGCAAAGACACGAGGCAGACGCACTGCACCACGCATCGGTTATCGATTATTGGTTTTTTAGTGGTAGCCTGCCGGTTCTGCTGCAGGGCGAGACGTCTGTCGGGAAGACATCGTTGATCACCTACCTGGCGAGTCGTGTTGGTCAGGTGTGTTACCGCATCAACAACCACGAACACACCAACCTGCAGACGTACTTGGGCGTCTACATAGCCGCGTCGGCTTCTCACATCGCCAACAACACAACGTTGGCGCCGTCTTTCATCTTCCAAGAAGGAATTTTCGTCTAGGCCATGAAAAAGGGCCACTGGATCATCTTGGACGAGTTAACTCTGGTCCAGACGAAGATTCTTGAAGCTCCTAACCGGGAAAGTCGCCTCATGATTAGGTCAAGCGCTTGAAACTCCCGTGTCATCAAACAGAACGGATCGAACTTCGAGGGTATCAACTTTTCTTCATCTTTAATAATTCATAATGTAAAAACTGCTCATCTCGGTATCAACTTAAAACCATTTAAATGATTCCGTAGTCATGGAAACACTGACGATCAGAAGGAACACGGTCAGGAAAATGTGGAAGGTTGGGCGATACTTTAAGCCAATCCCTTCCAAGAGATCTGGATTGCGTCAAACTGCGTGAGAGCAGGCATTATCGTCGTGTCGGTTAGATCTTTTTTCTCGAACGACCCAAGAAAATCCATAATTTTTTTTTGGTGTTTGAAGTCGTCACAAATAATGATACGCTTGTTTTAACTAGGTTAAAATTGCATGTCGGTTTCCTAGATGTGGCTGTAAGGAAATATTTGGCAGCTGCGGCTTCCAAAACTTCATAATCCAGGTTTTGTTTAACTACCCTTGTGGCGACTATTTAAATTGACCAATCAGGACCAGCTTTTCTCAAAAACAACTCAATCAACAGCAGTAGCTATTTGATGTGACTGTGTAGTCACCTCAAACTCAGTAGTCAATCGTTTTGCAGATATGCTTTATTTGGAAAATTAGTTATAGCAGGCACAAGTTGTAGCACAGTTTTTACGAAAAAAATTAACATTTACGTGGCAAGTTTTTACTGGCATAATTTGCTCACCATTAATAAGCCTTGCTATCCGCCAGAGTAAAAGAATAACCATTGCAGAAATTTCTTGGGAGTCCAGTTTGATGTAGGAGATATCTGATATAAAGGATATCAATATAACGAGGGCATCAGCCACCTAAAAGAGAACGAATCTAACCAATCATATTTGCGTCAGAATTCGGCCAATCAAATTACCTCTGCTTGGTACATGCTTATTCTACTTCGGGCTATGTCATTGACAAACATTTCAAAATCCTGCTAGATCAATATTTTTGAATTAGCAAATATGTTAATTACTGACTTCCAGCCAATAGGAATTGAGTATTTTGGGTGCCGCTTGTACCGAGCTACAAGATGGTGTGAAAGCTGTGTCGCATTTTCAAGTTTTAAATAGAACGAGCGGTGTGGTTGCTACCAGAATTCTTGTCAATGTGGAACGATCGAGGAAGTCTGCTTGAACTACAACCAACTCAATTCTACTGAACCGGATATGCTGTGTAATTAAATAACGCGATAATCAGCTAGCAGGTACGTGTGTCGGCCCTGAATGGGCCTTTTAAGATGAGACGCGTTAGTTGGTTGGTTCTCTTTTGTACAGTTTGCTCCAATTTCACGTGATGCTTCTTTGGACTCACTTCGTAGACGTTGGAAAAGAACTTGCGGCCCAGACAGACAATCTTGAGCACCATGGTGCAGATGAAGAGGCCAGTGACGCCAATGCTGACAAAATGCATCACTTCGGACGCGTGATGCAGCATTGCGGGGTTGAGCATCCGTGTGGACGAGGTATCAGGGAGCCTTATCTCTGTCGCATTCAAGTCCAGGCACCTTCGTTGTAGTAGAGGGTTGCAGCCTGGAAGGCAAAAGAACAAAGTGCGTGATCAGTAGCATTCCATCCAATCAGATTCCAGATCACGTCCAATGACCTACCGTCTTCTTTGGCCACCGACGCGTGCTGGACGAAGGTCTGCCAACATTGGATGAAGTCGCGGAGCACCTTGAGTCGGTGTTCATCCATTGAAGCCGTCTGGCCCAACGGCAGGATCGCCTGATGCTCCTCTGGGTGGGGGTGGTCGTTAAAGGCATCTGGGGTTGGGACCTTCCCTGAGCACCATTCACCTGTCCATCGGCCGTCGTGAATCGCCATCAAGTAGTTGAGACGTTGTGCTTTGATGTCGAACAGCTCCTTGTAGTCTTAGTCCATGAAAAAGTAAATTTGAGCATTCACAAACATAGCTTTCCTCAATTCAAACAATGAATTTTTTAGAGTCATTAAAAATGCTACGCACCGCTGTCTAGAACAATCAGTCGTCGTTGGATATTCAAAATTCAACAAAATGCAACAGATGGCAAACAGAAAGAAAAGCGTGTGTGATTGTTGAATGTTTGGATTTGTTTAAATTGACACAATTTTAAAGAAAGCCCTAAACTAAGTCAAGAAAGTTGAAAAGAAACATCCTTTTTCATTTACGGGTGTGATTCGTGAATATAAAAAAGCGTTTTTCTGGGGTCGATCAACGGTCCGACTAATCAGTCAACCACGCCTTCGAAATGTCTCTGCCACTTTCAAACAACCAATTCTTCTGGATTTTAGCGCCAAAATTTTAAACGAAATAAACTCACTTTGGATGGAACGAATCTCCAAGATAATTTCAGCGATGACAATGCCTGAGTCAATTAGCACCAGGATGCACAAGAGAATTTGAGCGATGTTGCTGCGAAAGCGTCCCAGGCACCTAGCCCGCCAGCTACAACACATGGACGAGATCTGATTACAAGTTAAAATCCACAAATTTCAAATCGTTAGCCTTAAAACCGGGCTGTTCTCACGGTCGCGACTCGACCAATAGGGGTTCAGCCCCCAAATGTCAAGGTCACGAGTTGATTGGTTACTTCCCGCGCGGACAAATCGATTTAAAGTAAATGCAGATTTTGACCGCATAAGTTCATCACCCAAATTCGACTTTATGTTGCTCCAAGTCATTTCGCACTGTGAAATCATTCGCAATTTGTTTGGTTAATCAATCAGCACGGTGACTTTACTATCTTGTGTAATGGCACCCATGATAATTTTAAAAAAAGCTTTCATTTTCCTGCTAAATTAATTACCTTTTGGCATTTCATAGTCAGAAAAGTGACATTTATCAGCGACTGAAAATAACCTTGCGTCCGCTTTACTTAATAGATGATGATGACGATAATGTTGACGACTGCTTGTCGTGTTCTCGGAGCTCATTAAATCAGTCAAAAGGGTACAGTATGTTTGCGTAAACATACTGGAAACCGTGGTCCTAATTATGTTGTCAGTGTAGACAATGATTTGGCTGAATGTTATCTTTGTTCAAAATTTGCATAGCATGCTACTTAAAACGCATTTAAGTATCGTGAAGTAGATGAAACAAAAGACTACCTTCTGTGTCTGCGACCTTCTGCGTGCCGTTGAAGCTCATCATTCAGGAGGGAGGGGTCGATGTTGTCTTTGGCAAGCTGTTTTATAAAAGTCCTGCTATTGGCCCAGCCAAGTTCATAACCGTACCTGAAATTTCAAAGCTAATCAATAAGTGCTGGACACCTTAACAAAAGATAGCTTCTTTTTCTTCTTAACTGTGCTTAAAATACAAATTTTTGACATGAAATCTGCTCAAATATCGATTAATTACTCATGTGGTATTGCAAAATCAACAATCGTGTGTGGCACTCATCAGGGCAATCGAAATTCCCTGGAGTAGAAATCAATCGATAATTCGAATAGACATGAAAAATGGAATCAGTCTAGACACATTAACTCCTAGAGTGATTAGTTTTTAGTTTGTAAGTCACGTGCGCGAGACTGATTTGCTAACATTCTTAATTACAGACCCAAAAGTACACTTCTGCGTTCATTTTATAACATGTTTTCGTCGTGATCCAGTCTGGCATGCAACAACATGTCGGCCCAGCGCACCAATCAACTCAAAATGTGCCCGATCGTGTGTGATTGGCTCCACGTATGTTCGCGTAAATTAGACTGGCAATTTTCGTGCAATAACGCGGGAGATTGGCAAAGCATAAGTGCATGAGTCAGCACAAATGGCCGGTGGAAAATGACCAGACCCCACAACCGCCACGCAAATTGTCGTGCCACTTGACACCAGGGGTCTGACCAAAAGGATCATTTTTGCCAGGAATCTGTTTCTAGTACGCTGCCAATCACCATCAGAATAGCCAATAGTCTTCTTTTAGAAGTATAGAAGGTGAAGTTTGCAAACGCAAATTTTCATGATGCTTCAGCATGATTCTGTTAGGTAAATATCTGATTTATTGGAAAATATTGATTGTCGTATTACTATTAGGAGATGGTATGTCTTCGTTGCGATGTAGCTATTCCAGCTTTGATTAAATATGCTTGAATGAAGCGTGCTTTGATATATTAAGTGATTTCTGCATTTTTGCAAAACGCAGCAGATTTAGGTCTTCCTTCAGGTAGCAGAACTGGACTTCTTCCTGGCTCAGCAAAATCTGGCGTAACGGATTAGCGGTTTCACTATGAGGTTTAAATTCTTGCGCAATTAACCAGTAAATACCTCTGCTAAATGCCGACAGTGTGGAATGTAGGAATGCTAGAAATTTCACATTTCCAGAAATCTAGTTGGAGAAAAAAGATTGACTTCGATACCAGAAAGCGGTTCTACGGTCGTCTCACGACGTCGACTTTGGCTATTGCCAATCTGCTGGACCTATCAGAATCAATCACTAGAGCAGTGCTATTCTCTGATTGGTTGGTTTTTGGTGGTCATGAGACTGATTCATTTGGGTTGTCGTCAATGCTTATATTCATCGAAGGTATAAAAAAATGCTAACTATGTTCACACACTTAATGAATTGCAGTATAGACTGTTGACACTCGCAAAGAGATATGTGAGGTTAATATCAAAAATGCTGTTCCGTTGTTTTAATCAAGCGCACACAACGATCGGAAATTAATTCAAAATTCTTGGAAGTAGCTCAAGCAACATGGGGAGTTGTAACAATTCACAATGATCACTTCGACAAATCGACAGACAAGCAAAACTGTACATTTTGCTTGAAACACGCGATTCGAGGTTGCATAATAGCGACATTTTAAAATTTGTTTCCACATCCTAAGTAACATTAGATCAACAAACAGTCAAGCATTGCCCATCTCGAAGTGAATTGACATTTTAAACAACGATTGTAAATTCTCAAAGAATAACATAAATCAGGCACCAATTTGACCAATTTTCATTGGTTCCAGCAAACAATTTCGAATTACAAGGCGATGTATTTTACGGTTTGATTCAGTTAAATCGATCTCACTGTGTTCCAAATAGGTAATATGACTTTAAAATTAATATATTGCAAATTTATCATTTTTTTCTATCCTATGAAAAAAAGAAAATGCCTTTTAAATATAAAATTAAAAAGGAAAATTTCAGATCTAAATCTAAAAATCACGCACCCAGTGCACTTTGTGAAGTCATCCGTATCTTTGGATTCATTGCTGACAATGCTTTCCATCTTCCTCAAAGACGGCCTCTTCGTCTGCTGTTGCAGACTTTTTTCAACCATCCGCTGCATTTGAAAGCAGTGGATAGTGGTTGCTTCGTTGTATTCAAATTGTCCGCCAGTGAATTCCGTCCAATCTGCACTGGTTGGTTCAATTCAAACTGTCATTTTCATGTGTTTTGACGTCTGAGGAACAGCAATGACACGAACAAAAGTGAAACTGGGCACTGGTTATTCTTTGTTGCAGCTACGCGTGCACTCGCACCTATATCCCGTCCCCAGTGCCTCAGCCAATAGGAAAATAATAAACCGCTTGGACCAATTAAAATTCAGAGAAGTGCTTATGATATTTACAGAGTGTGCAGACGCATTAAAGCGTATAATTATTATTGTATTCTAACTCCAAATTACCTAGATGCTCTTTTTCCGATGATCATGAAGTTTATAGCAGATGGCGGACGATTCTTTCTGTGAATTTGACTACAAAAATTGTGCAAATTCCACAACACATTTTAAACGTTTGTGAAATTAAAATACCTTTTCCAATGCTACATTGAAATTTACGTATTTTCATTACCGCCAACCTGTGTGTTAGATTTGGTGACAAGAATTTAATTTAATTGGTTTGTTAAAACAACATGTCAATTTTTAAGCAGTGTATTAGGTGTTCCTAACGATGCTAACTTTAGAAATTTCAAAAAAACCAACATTTGCTGAGTGATGTTAAACAAACTCAGGCATGTGTTTAAATGAGGTCGGTCTAAAGAAAGGAGCCAATGAGCGGTGAGCTGCGGCCATGGACTCTAAAACTCCTTGGGAACGTTGAAATTTTTAAGGTCTGCCAAAAGTCAGTTTGCTTCTGTCCCACAGTTGGATTGTTGTCGATCCACAAAGACCAATAAACCTTCCCATATTCTCGTGATTCCTGCAAAACCCTTTCGAAGTCTCCTTAATTCGATGCTAATGTGCATCATTGATGTTTCCTTTAAAAAAGGGCATCTTATCGGGTTTTATGTGTTTTACTCGTTAAAAGTGTTGGAAAAAGTGTTATTGGTTAAAATTTTGTTTCTAGTGGTAGGCCAAAGGGGAACGAAGACAGTACAAATTACCCAGAAAAGGTCAGATTTACATCATAAAACCCAAACCCCTAGGGTTTAGATAAACAAAAGTGTCCGGTCATTAGCTGGTCGACTAGTGCTACCGAAAAAATCCAGAGGCATTCACGGAGTGGACAAATGCACTGATGAGGGAATAATCGATATTTAAGTCGCGTTTATCATTGATTCTCCGTGTGTTTTAATGTACCATATCGATTTCGAGGAAATATAATTTTTCCGCTAGCATTAGTTTTCTCTTTTCTTAGCACACAGGGTCAATTCAAGGTCACACCAACTTGGGTGGTAGCAGAACTTCGTGATTGGCCAGGAGGAAGGCCACTGAGGCTCAGTCGCTGACTGAGCCGTTGGCTTGAGGATCTACAGTAAGTGGTCCTTAGACCGGAAAATCTGGGATTTTGTTATCCGGAACGGGGTCAGAATACGTGTCCTAGCCAGATTCAACCCCAAATTAATCATTATTTGAATATCCGCCATTATTGCTAAGTACAGGAAACGCAGGAAATGCCAAAAAAATATCTTGTGTTTACAAAAGTAAAACTGCTACTGTGACAGCTAAGGTTCCTAGGATGATCTTATCGTGCTTACCTCAATTCTTGGAAACGCTGAATTGTTCATGTGGCCATGCAAAAATAAGCACAGTGCCTGCATTGCCAAAATGTTGATGTGGGGCCTAATGTCACAGCATTTGGCTCTGTTGATAATACGAAATGTTATGTGGGCAGTAAAAAAAAAGAATATTTCTCAGCCCTTTAACTATTGACAAATGAAAATGCATATTAAGATCGTTTTAGAATCACTCGGAAAGGTGTCAAGTTAATAGATGCTAATTTAACAGATTTGCTCCCATTAAAACTAATATAATTTTGTTTTGAGCCAAAATAATGCACTCCGGCAGTTAATACAGCTACTTACTGGGATTTTTTCCAAATGGCAATTAAAATGTTTTTCAAACTTAATAAAATTGCTTACTTCGAAGTAACATTTGTACCATTAAAGTTCAGGCGCTTGTGTAGAATGGGAAACCGCGATTACTTCGCACTGTGTGCTTCATTTCGCGGAATTCCTTCCTTGTTTTAAATCTAGCAGAAAGAAAATTTAGCATTTAAACTTGCAACATTGCAAAAATGAACGGTGCTAGTTTGGAATGCCGATGAAAAACGCAATTTTTCGCAGCGGTTACACATAGGTTCACCAAGTACTTCATTTTCTGCATCTTAAATCCTTTTTTTTTGGAGAAAAAAATTCCATCCAAGTGGACACTTTTGCAGGGTCTTCATTGGCTGATTTCTTGACTTGGCATATCTCCTCATAGGCTGGGTCGTAATTCGCGCTACAAGCTGACCAATCGTTTTAATGGCCATAAATCAATTTCAGGTTTATTTCGAATGCTACTTAGCGTCGAGCTTAACATTATGGCAGAGCATTAGTGGAGTCTGTCGCATGCTTGTGGTTGCTGTCACGCATTTTTTACCGTACTAATATATTTGTTAACACAAATTCCTTTTACACATAGCAGTTGCTCACAATCGAATTTTGGCCAATATTGATTGCTGAAAATGAGATTGGACTCGTTTGAAAAATATTTGACGTGATTCACTCTTCTGACTTGATTTCAATGATGTCGATAAAGCAGACTTCAAGGTGTACCTAACGGCGTGCTGAAATGATTCCATGGAGACAAACTGAAGCTTCCATATTTTGTGCATATCACTTTGTTTTTTTGCATTGGTTTAAACAGAACTGTTGCATCGCGCGTGGGCGTATTTTTAAATTCGTCAGTGGAGGGTTTTAGGCGATAATAGCTGATCCGCGTTTGGTTGTCACGAGGAAAAAAATTTGCCACACAAGTTAGACTTTATTGGGTGTTTACGTTGAGAATGGGAAAAATTCCTGCGACAAAAGTAATCGTGTTCTGGATTTTTTTCAACCAAACTCACGCTATTTAAACGGCAGCAGAACTGGCAACCTCATAGAGGTTCCAAAAACATCCGGCAAACGGGTTGCCTTGTTGTAGAGTGTTATAACCGCTCTAAAGTGCAACTTCAAACACTCTGGAAAAACATTTGTAGGTACGGAAAAATGTGTGAACTGACCTACTGTAACGGGTTTTCGTGCTTACTTTTTTTCTGTTCAATGAGCCGACATGTGTGAATCGATTAATGACTTGAGGTCACAAAATCGATAACTCGCCTTCACAAGACACGATTTGAGCTCATGCGTGATTGGCGCCAAACATAAATTATTTACTGAATGGATTTAAACAAAATATTCTGACCATCTTTAAATGCGTCACTCCTGAAAGCAACCTCCACCGAACAGCGAAATGCGATAGTAATTTGATTATATTGCGTGGTCTTTGAGTAAGCTGACTTTCGTGCGGCGAATTTGCAAATATGACTACCCGAATCGATCCTTTCAAGGTCGTGGCGACTTGAGATTCAGTGTGGTATCCAGGCGAACGAAAGTCACTTCCAGCATACGTAGTGTTTCAAGATGACGACTTACTTGGAAATGATGGATTTACTGCTAAAGTAAATGTGACATGTCCCACTTTCCTGCCACAACTAACCAACCCTCCTTACGCACCATCCCCTACCCGACTAATCGCACTAGTACTGACAGTGTTTGCAGAGAAAGCAACATACAATTTTAAAGTTTACCAAAAACCGGTAGATAATAAATGCAGCATCCTACTGGAGCAGAGGATTTTGCGAGATATCTGGTGAACACTTTGTTGGGTATCCACGATTCCCCAAGATTGGTTTCTGATTCTATTTACATTAATTTACTAACATTTGTTTTGTTACGCTTTTATCAAGTCAAGGTCAACCTTGACTCTTGGGTCATCTATGCACGTGGCTGACGTGAATAAAGCTCTCTACTCGAGCTCTGGTCTTGTTCTGGCATTAGCCTGGGAAGGTCGGTTCTAGCTTCAGCAAGGGATCCAGTACCGTTATTTGAGTGGTCTTCTCTTTTGTTACGGGCAAACGTAACACACGTAAAGTATTATCACTACTTGCAAATTTGGAAAAGTAGCAGATATTTGTCGAAACGTACACTTTGTGAGCTGTTAATAATTTCAAATTAATAATTTTATGATAAATCCGCCGAACACACCATTTCCAAATCGACCGCTCGATTTCTCGTGCCCTCATTTCATTGGTTAGTTTCCACAAGCAGTAGGGTGTCAATTTTTATCGGTTTTTAGGGTCGCCAAATTCCTACATATTACATGTTTGAGGCGAATTTTGGAGAATCTGACCAAACATTGAGGGTCATTGAAGCGTTGTTTACTCGAATTTGACAACGAGACGTGACCCTCAACTGTCTAGACCAAGTGCTTCTTGTCTTCAAATTCGGACAAATTCCTGCAGAAAAAATGCAGTTGGATACCTTACACGCGTGGAATTCCGTGTTAGAAATTGTTCAACTACTCGACACCCGATGTATGGACTAAAGTTTGACTATGTGCCTGCGTGCTCTCTGTAGGCCATTAAAATCACAACTGACCTGTTGATAAAATTTGCAGATTATCGCGCACAGGAATGCTTCTTACTTAGCAAATTCTGAAAAATTAGGAAAGTACTGTGAATGTTAAAGATTCCAGGGATTAGTCGAGAGATGAGTTATTGCGTTATGGAGAGAGCAAAAATGGCGAATGCTGATTCTGTGAAAAAACAAGTCTATTAAATCGCAGTCAGGCAGGTGGATTTTACTCCGCACTTGTAAATGCTGTTTGACTTAGAAATTTTAGATAAAGGGCACATGCTGATGCGCAAGGTCTGAGTAAATTGCATGATTTTGTTGAGGGAAAAGCTAGCTGAAGTTGAAGTAATGGATTGATCAGGACACTTTACTTTCACATAGACCCAAGTAAATCCTCAGTTTGACAGCTTATTCACATTAACGGGGGACACGAAAACGGATATGCCACTCGTGAACCTTCGTCACCAGGCATCTCGTTGACACTTGATTCAAATTGTTCAAGGCAACCACGAGCAAGTCAAAAGCCGGATTTGTTTAAATAAGTGCATCATGGCAAGCGACATCTGTTTGCAATAAAACTTGATTTTGCAAAATGCATGTTGAATGTCGCGTGTGTCAGCTGATTCGTACAGCAAGTACCTTTGCTGGCTTTTCAAAGCACTGGAAGATCAGTAATTTGTGATCATAACTTGATCCGATTTTAAATATTTTCATATAGCTATGGTCCACTAGTTTTCTTCAAATTTTGGATGATTCGTTGGTTTTAGACAGCAACCAATCGGTACGAGGCTTTTCAAAAACCCCGCAACCTGGAAACCAACCTCCTTTAAACAACGAATGTGTGGTATTTTTAACTGGCCATCATGACAGTAAGATACCGTGTACTCATGACAATGCAGTACCAAAGCCATGATATTTACTTCCACCTAATAATGCTAAATGGACTGGTCGCAGTTTGGCAATTTTGACCTGCCAACTTCACATAAATACGCCAGTGCCAATTTCCCAGGTAGAATTAGTAGAATGTTAAAGCGGTCTAATTAAACTTAGGTGTGGGATGTTATGGAATCAATGAGGAATGCGGTGAGACGGGATTTGTAAGCGTGGAAAGCAATGTCGCATCACAATAACATCACATTTGTAATCCCAAGTTGCGCGACTCGACCACTTCTTTGTAATCAACCGGCATCGCACATCAAACTAATTCTGGCAGTGCATTTTGGTGGCCTAAAACGTCTTATAGGATTGGAGGAGCATTTGTAACGTTTTGCGTTACATTCCATTCAATTCCTCTTCAAATACTTTCCGAATCCAAAATACGCAAAATTTTTTTAAATATATTTGGAATTTAAAGTAAGTGTGCAAGTTGCGCTTTACCAAAAAAGGCTAATTCAATGCAGTTGACACCATTATAAATGACTTCAGTCGATGTGCAAGCAGTAAATGTTTTTTTAAACCAAAAAGTTAACTTGGATCGTTCTTAATTTGTCCAGGGAAAATTTGTGTGATGTGAACAGCGCAGATGTTTGAGCGCGCGGCTGAATCGATTTGGACAATGCACGAACCTGTGAAACTACATGAACCAACCAATTAAAAGGCAGGAATTTAATTTAGAGAAATTAGCATAGATATCAAACATCGACAACCGTTTCTGGAATTGTAACTTACTTAAAATGCAAACTACGAACCGAGCTCATTGTACTGGACAGTGCTAGTCCCTTACGGTTCCTCGTGATCGATGCCTTGCTCAGACAAAGCATCAACCAATCAAAATATTACACACCTCTGGTGCCTGAATCTGATAGGTCCAGCTAACGAAACGACATTATACCATCACACTATCGAAACACTCTATGCTCATTAAATAACCTTCTTGCTTTAACGTGGCGAAAGTGTTTGTCTCGCACTGTCGACGTTCAGCTATTTCTTGAAGGAGAGAGCTGAAGATTCAAGTCACCTATGGCCTCACCGGGTTAATGCCACCCGCCAATCAGAGCATCGCACAGTTCAGCAGCAGAAATCGTGATGTGACTCTCGATGAGCATTCCAACAAATCCGGCATTACTGGAGCCCTCCTTTTTTGGCAAAGTTAAAATTTTCAAAAATGTCTAACATTCCTTACTGGCTAATTGCGCAGAAACTTAAGCCTCGGTGTGAAATCGCTAATTCGCGTCGACCACATCTGCCATCTGAAATTCTACCACATCGCCAACGCCTTCCACCTTGACCTGTGCTATTCCCGGTCGCGCGTAATAACTGCTTCAACAAAAAGCCAGCAGAACTTTAATCATTACCGACGGCTGGTATTTGCTTTATGCATTCCACGCAACTCTGGAACCCCCAGGCCAAAAAGTGCAAGGCTACTTTCTTTTTTAAAAAACGTGATTAATTAGGCATGTACAGTAGGCGATGGAGTTGGACCTAAATGGCACAGACCGACGCCTCAGGCAAATGTCGCTTCCCCGGAGATGCCACGTTCTTCTTCCTCTTCTTCTTCTTCATCGCTCGTCTTGTCGGTGTGTCGTCCTCGAGTTTGCGTTTGCCACCGGCACCCCCAACTCCCGAAGCTTCGCTCTCGTCGCAGTCGTCAAGATCAACTCTTGATTCCGCAGACGCCGTCTGCTCCTTGCTAACTTCGTCATCTGCGAGTGGCAGGGGGTAGTCCCTCTCCGCGAAGGACAACCGCGCTACTTGGGAGAGGTAGCTCCAGGTAGCATCCAGGCCGTCCAACCTGCGTAAAGTGACACGAAAATAAGTATCCATGTGATTTGGTTGAAAACCCGTCGATTGCAAACCGACCAATCAGGAATCAGACGGATTTCGAGGAAAACAAGCGTGAAACAGACATGAGAGACCCCAAAACAATCAGTGAAAGACTTCGGCACCGCAAATGGTGGGAAGGTTGGATGACGCGAATTCAACTTTGTTGGATTCGACATCAATCATTCGTGCATACTTCTGCGTGACGTGTCGTAATTTGATTAATGAACAATGTAAGCCGTAATGTACGAAGTCAACGACACTGCTTTATGAATTCGTGTCCGATTTGAAACCACATTACGTACAACGCAGCCTCATGAGTGACATTTACCTTCCCCGCAATATAAGCTTTTTTGACAATCAGATTACTTAAAAGTGAACAAGTCAGAGAAAGACGCGAAGGGGAACAATTTTAAAACCATGCTAATTGTGATGTTGGGGGAATAGTTGCACGCGTTTTGATGCTTTCGACACTCAAGGTCATTCCAGTTGCTCATTATGTCAACCATTCACACTATTGGCCACTGCC